TGAGGCGTCACGCCTTAACAAATAAGGATCCCACTGTGATTTTAGCCAGTGTCGCTTTAGCTTGGCTTATGGTTTATGCTAATCACAAATCTGCAAAGGATCATAGAAATCCAAACAGTCTGACATTTGTGATTATCAACAAAGGCAGCGAAGGACGAAAGAAGACACCAAACTTTAAGGAGTACAACATTTGCAAATATCTAATTCATTCAGTTAATGGGATTATATGAAATTTGAAAAACAAAGCAGCTATATTGAGGCATTAAGCTGCTAATTCACAGTTGCAGTGATCACCAGCGTTTCTTACTAAGTGTGCGCCTCACGGATCAGATGACATAAGCAGCTACCAGTCATCTCTGTCACGAACATACAACATTGCATCAATTGTCTCAATATAGCCTGATAAGTCAACGCCTCTGAGCCTGAGTGGCATGTATGTAATGTAAAGTAGCATGTCATAACTCACTCCCACAGTGTAAAATGTCATCATGTGAGATGTGTTTGTTCCATGTGTTGTGATGCTGGAGAAATGGAGAGGCAGCTAATTGGAGGCAGACACGGTGCTGGCATGCGTTTGAGTGCATCAATGTGTGAGTATTTATGTCCCTCATATCAAGTGCTCTTTACATTTAGACCTTAGTTTTAAACCAGACATTCAAAAATCCTCAAAACATAGACATATGGCAGAGCAATGAGCCTGAATGATGGGTCAAACACAGTTTCTGTCCTGGTGACTCTGGCTGATTATCAATAACGTTAAATTAACCACAGATGGATGTCACTTCTGATTTTGTATTCTTCCAGGAGCCGGCGGAAGCCATTTTGAATTCCATTGAAAGCTGTGGCGCAGGCGTCTTCTCCACATGTGGATTTCACAATCGCACAGGCCACGTTATTAGGATAACCCTACGAGTGGGCTGTTTTTAAACGTCACTATTCATCGTCAATCACTCGCTTTTCTCTTTTTTCATTCGAGGATACATATTTATGAAGTCTGGTGCTTTCGTGTGAACATTTGCAAGTGATTATGTGCGCTCTTCTCACTCCAAAGTCCAGATGTGCAGCTATGCAAGCAGAAAGTCAGTCATTATTCAACCCCCCGCTCGGTGAGGAATAGGGTGTTTGTTTGCATTGAAACGCTAATCATGCAGTAACAGGCTTCATTCTGATCATAGAAGATCTGATCATCCAGACAGATGAAATACAAACCGCCCAACACAAAGTCTGCCTCCTTTGACAGTCGGACCAATAAAAAAGTTGAATGTTTTGATCAGACAGCCTCAAACAATCCTTTACTTAGAGAGAGAAAAAAGGACTTACCATAATGCTATTAATCATGTGAGGGCGTCAGGGTTCAGCCGGTGTCACGGTCAGCTTCAAAAAGCCTTACTTATTAAGTACTACTCATTCTGTGTGGACCGGTGTGTGAAATCTTTGAAGGTTTGATCAGGTACAGGTGCCACTTCTTGCTGTTCAAAGCGACACCGCAACTCTTTCGCCTGGCCATTAAAGCAGACGCGAAGGCCAACGCGGGCCAACTTTTGCATTTCTATTAGAATGGTAGCCCGCTAAGGAATACGCTTGTTAGAGATAATTACAGATATTCTGTCCTGCAGCCATTTCCCTTTTTCACAGGAGTTCATGCAAAAGGTTTTACGCTGTAACAAAAAACAAATGTGGTTAGCAGGAAGCTAAAGTTTCAAGTTACTGATGAATATGAAACAAAACTTAACTTTAAACAATAGTGTGGTAAAGGACTGTTTTTTTAAATATATATATATATAGAATGTATTCAATACTATGCTCGGTTTTATCCCAAGATCAATAAGACGGTTGAAGTCCTGAGAGGAGCTCTATGAAGTGTCATGACTTACATATGTTTATAGCAGCTAATAGTCCATATATGTATACATTAAACAATAAACTGTATTTCATTATACTGCACTGTATCTTGCATTCAGTTTGATCTTATTCTATTTTACATGAATAAAGTTGACTCATTCCTGCATTGCACTTGCACCGTTATGTCACTTGCTTTATTTCCTTGCTTTGTATGTTATATTCCAGGAGGAGTCTGGGACTTAAGGTTTCCATTGCCACGCTGAAGTTGTTGTGCATATAACAATAAAGCCTTTGAATCTTAAAGACTGAGAATGCATGGATTTCTGCAGTGTTTTGTGTGTGTGTGTGTGTGTGTGTGTGTGTGAGCCAAGAAAAGCCACAAACAGAGATGCTTGTTTGTTTGGGGCCTGTTTCCCTTCTTTTCTGGGCAAGAGGAGGATTAGGCCCTGTTGGCAGCGTGTGCACCGACTGAGCCGGCGCTTCTCTTCTCCACCACACACTCCAGCAATCAGGCAGGATGCCAAACAAACAGATGAAGTCAACAGAGAGACGTTTCCTTGTGTCTTCTGAGATGTGACTGCAACAGATGCAACGCTGACACCGACGCTTGACACAGTGTGACAGCCTACTGTGTCTACACAGCCGGCTCCACTTTGACTTATTTTGAAAGGAGGGAGTAGTGTGGTGGTGTTTGGGGGGCGGGGGGGGGGGGGTTGACACTATGCACATGATCACACACAAGATAATGTTTGTCAGCAGCAACAGCGATGTCACCATGTAAAAGAGACAAAGAGAGACACCCGGGGTTGATTTCACGGTGCAGTCATGCTGCGAGTACACTCCTCAAAAGATTTCCATATGTGGTGGTGGGGGGCTAGGGGTGGGGGGGGGTCTTGGCAGTCAGTTTATCGAGGTGCAAGCAGGCTTTGATTTGCTCTGTGCATGATTCAATCTCTGAGGTGAACTATGGCCATTACACACTGCAAGGTCAAAATCCCATTACTTAAATGCAATTTTATCCATGATTTTTTTTCTCACAGGCCCCATCTCTCAAATATATCTTCACATCGCCACCCAGATAGGCAGGCCGAAAGCACTGCATGCTGGTTAACAGAGTTCTTGGCTTTGAGCAGCTCTAGGGGATGGAGTGAGGGAGTATCTGTATCCAGGTAATTACAGTATGAGGGGGCACAGAGGTCCTCTGTGATTACACATCAGGCCTGTAATGGATTCAACACTTATAGACGGAGAGAGAGAGGGAGACGCATTCCTTACCTTCCCATTGCTAAAGCAAGGGACGGGCGGGTGAGAGCAGGCAAGGTGGGGCGGGTAGGTATATCTGCAAGATGGATTACGTGGGGTTTGCCGAGTTCAACATTGACACAGATTCATCGTAAATCATTATGCTGGGGACCCGGAGTGATTTCTGCATTAGTAGCAGAAAATGGAGTTCAGCCAGTCAATGAGGGAGGGCATATTTCACATCAATCACCTCCACACTCTCATGTTACCAAGGCTTAAATCTCACTTATACTGCTACCAATAGGGTTCAATGGCTATGATGGCAATCAGCAAGACACTGCACTAACAATACCATGCTGACTACATATAGAAGACACAGCATGGGGCTCTGCCGGCATTTATTTAAAGTGAATTATGTATGAATTGAAATTAGGAAGAGTAGAAAATGATGTTGGCACTAAAGAGGTGGTTTTAGATTTTAATGCATATTTATAGTTGTTGAAACTTTTAACTCATGTTGGCTAACTTTCTTGCAAGTATTTTTTCTCCTATTTTCATAGAGATGGTGTAAACCGGGGATACTGAAGGGCCAATGAAGCTCACATTCTCAGACAACATAATGTAAATACTCCTATAGAGTAACCTTACTTATGTTCGCGCTAAATGATACCTTTGGGAGTTTTAACTTCCCACCTTTAGCCCAACTCGACCCCTTTAAAACAAATCTCAAATAAAATAAATCCTATAGACGTAATATATTTAGGATATGGAAGGGGTAGAACTGCTTAAAAAGTTATATCAACACAACATTAATTATAGAGCAGATGAAAATAAACTGTATTAAAACTTTTTTGTTTTAAACTGGGGTATCAGTTATCAGGTTAAACAGAAATAATGTTGATATTCTCTGTAGCAAGCTTCTGATATGTCTCATGAGTTCAGTTATGCTGTTTATAATTCATTCTAATAAAATGTCATAAAGTCAAACTGATAAAACAATCCAACGTGTCTTTATTGAGCTGTTAAAGAGAGCTGTTAAATCATATTAAAAGTTTTAAATTAATCATGTGCAGGCACTAAAAGACTGAAGAAACACACATTTCCACTGAATTACATTTTGATTAACTTTTAATGGTTTTTATTTGATGTCACTGTTTGCTTTATACATCACTAATGTCACTTTACCTTGTAATGTGTGTCTCTAAATGATCTTGTATTAATATATTGAGTATTCAATTATTATTTTAGTTCTACATACTTCATTTTTCACAATGTTTCTGTATTGCTGGCCTGCAACAAGCATATTCCACAATGGGAATCAATAAAAGCATGATCATAAGCATTAAACTAAAATGAATTAAAAAAACTTTTTTCCCCAAAAGGAAAGTATTAAGATTAAAGTCACGTACAAAGTTGAATTAGTCACTTGAGGCTACCTTGTTTTTACCGGTACGTCAACATAGGCTAATGTATGATGTTCATATATTATCTTGAAACAACTACATGCTGGTTTCAAAAGTACAGAAGAGGACAAGGACCACATTTTTTAATGAGATCAGGCCAAGATTTTTTTTTAATTCTGAGATTAAAGCCAGAATTCTGACTCTAACATTTCGGAAAAAAAGTCACATGGCTCTAATCGTCTTCCATACATAAGATGGAAAAATAAATAAATGTTCTCTTTTTAATAACACCTGCAATTACCGTGTATAGCCCCAAAGTAGGCCTCACTAAATTTAATATTTTGAACGATATGTTTTAATTTAGCGTTTTTAAATGTAGAATACACATAAAAAGTTACATTTATGCACTTTTTCCTAACTTTATTTGTTGGGAGACTTGTTGAGGGAGGGCTTTGTTCACTTCTCTGCCGCGAAGGGAAGCAAAGAGAGAGAAGAGAGGCTGCACTGCAGGAATCCGGATATGATGAAAATGTTTGAGACGCAACTATCAGAAAACTACCGCCACTGCACGTCGAAAGTGTCGCGCGAGGAGTATTATTGTTAACATCTGGACAAAGTGGGACTGGGACACGCGCTGACCGCTAAACTTACCGTTAAAAAAGTTTCTGGTCGCTTCTCTTTCACCCTTTTTTCGTCTTTTCTTCCTGGGAAAGAGTTGCAGGGAGGAAGGGAGGATGGGAATAAGTTACATTTGAAGCGAGGGAGTTGTCATGTTTGAAAGGTAAGTCATTCTTTATAAACAGTATGTCCGCTTTAGCTATAAACAACACTTAGCTTGACGCCTTTTTTGATAAAGAAAAAGGGGAGTGTGGGAACTGCACATGGAGTCTTTCAGCAAGTTTATGTAAGAAGCGAGAGAAGGAAATTTCCACTAAGTTTTTACTGCAGGTCGACGTCACTTTTCTCGCTGTGTGAATAAGCAGACGGCTGTCTCAAGTTGACACGGTGTTGCTTTGTGTCTTCAGCTGATGATGAGACATTGGTTTGAGGGCTGAGGGAAAGGAGGAACTTCTTCTGCGGCTGTGTGTGTCCCAAAAACACGACTGTCTCATGTCCAAGGAGACTGTCCTGACTCCGGATGGGCCGGGAGGGCCAGGGAAGGGCCCTCAGCAAGAGACAAGTCCCCTGCTGTCAGCCTCACAAGGTAAGGACACACAGGACAGGCCACACATCACTGTCAGGGGAAATAAGTTGCATTGAGGTGACCAAGGTGGGGTTTAGGGCTCCTAGGGGGCAACGAAAAGGTCCCAGAGTTCATATAACAAGATGTAATTTAACTAATATTTCAGTAAGTGGTAAGAAAAGTGTTTCCTAAAGTGTAAATACGTCCAGCTATGCACCAATTCACACCCATTAGCATATTTCTACTCTCATGAGGCATGCAACCCAATGTTTTTGGTCCACTAATCCAAAACATGTCTGTTGAAGTAGTTTATGACTTGCAAACAATTCAGAATCTCTGCTATATAATGCACTGCTCATGTGTACTTGAAGTTCTCTCTTGTGAATGTTAATGTAGTTTCTCTCCCTGCTGCCAATGCACTAGCTATAAATATGAGTGACATCTATGGTCAAGAACTCATGTTGCTTATAAGGCCAAACATGTTCATTTTTCAGTGACCGCATTAACGGTTTACTGGTGTGTATGGAGCATTTGTAGGCCAGCTTTGGACAATATCAGCCTTGTCTTTTTAAATGATATTCATGTGATTTTAAGTACACATCAGTATCTGTGCTCCAGTGTTAAGCCTTGATAATGTTTTTGCTTTTTCCTCAATAAAGTGTGAAGAAACGCCCTGGTGACTATTAACAGCAACCACAGCCAATTATAGTTTTTAATTAACTTTCTAGTTGCCCCTAAGATTATCACATGTAAAATAAGCTTACCCCCACACCCCCTTTTTTCATTTTTCTTCAAACAAGCAATGAACCATTAACCATCCTATTTATACCAAGCATCATTATGGCACTGTCAAAAAATAGCAAAGTAGGACAAAGTAAGCAATCACTGGGGCTGCTGGATTGCGAATGGATTTTCGCTGGACCTTCAAAGGCGCTTGTAGTTAAGACTGGATTTCCCCTCTCAGGGGACTGTGGATGTACTGAGAATAGAGCCATTTATTTCTAACTGTGATCACTAAATACTGCGATGCATCACACAGTACTGCTGCTAACACAACTCTGCTACCATACTGTACATCAGCTCCGAGCTGAGATATGTGCCATATCTATCTAGGGCTGCTAGCCTGCGCCCATCCATTCCACTCCCCCACCCATCACTGCTTACAAACAGAGAGTGTTGCAGCATTGTAACAACTGCTTCAAGCTTTAGTAAACAAGATTGCTCGGTTTTGCTGAATCATTCTTCCCCATTTTTTCCCTTTTTAGAATCACAAAAGTGACTCATGAGGTGGTATGTTACTGAAAAACGTGCAAGCTATGAGAAAAACTTCAGCCAATGAAAAGCATCTGGCTCATAACCAGTGAATAAAGTCATTGTGGAAGGTTTATTTCCTGAACAAAGCAGCAGTGTGCAGTGAGCAAAGCGTCAGCAAGTCTTGAAGTCAAAAAGCTAAAAGACAGGGCTTAGAGAGATGAGTGAAACTGTCTCTGGTGTTTTTTTGCACAGCTATCGGGCCTGGAGTCTTTGCCCACATACTTTTTCCAATTTAGATGAATGCAGCCGTTATGGCAGTTAAAAAAAGCTTGGCAGGTAGAGCACACCCGGGAAAAGAAGGAGAGAAAATGAGATCCAGAGCTCTGGCAAGGCCTTTACCTGAACCGCCCCACCATGTTGAGCAACCATTTGCCCGGCCTGAGCTTTTTTCTGCCAAAAAAAAGGCCTCTGTACCTCAGCCTCGTCCAGCTGTCTCTGACATTTTGTCCACTAAAAGGCTGACCCTGTAAAACTTTACATCCCCATGGAGGAATGGCTGTAATGCACCTTCATTTCAAACAGTTGAGCTTCTAATAGAGTAACATTAAATGAAACAACCTCTCTTTTTTTGCCACATAATATATTTCTGTTTAACTTTATGTTCTACATGCTACGTTTCTTCTTATATTCTTTGTCCGTGTTTAACTGTAAATGCTTGTGATCCTCAGATGCTTGTGACAGTGAATCGTCAGGAAGAACAGCATCTCCGAGGAAACCGGACACTGAAGGACAAAGTCACGTGACCGAGGAGAAGTCTACTTATGGCGAGCCTGTAAGAAGTAAGTTTTAACAACCTGGAACAGCTGCGGGCGAACAGCATGATATCTTGGTGTTATTTCGAACGATAACCAACAACGAGCCGTTTAATAGGGAGCGAGTGGAAATGATTAACATATTTTAGCTTTTTCATAGTCGGGTAGTTAAGATTAACTGCGGTGGGTGTTTAGCAATTAAACATTTAGATGATTCTAATTTAATCTTCCAACTGTTGAGAAAGTTGTTATGACATTCGCACAGGGTCAGATGGCCAACACATTATTAGCTCCAGTTTTCTCAAGTAGAAAATCCAGAACCAAAATGAGTGATAGCATGCTCTGTCTTTCTACCATAAAGACTTTTGCTTCTGCTTCCAGACATTCCAGTGTTTTGGAAGAAGGGAAATCCTGTTTGTGGTTCTGGCATTGACAACTTTAACGCACTGATTGCGTCTTAGCCACAATGTTTTTCCCCCCCCGTACCAAACATTTACCTATTGAGGAAGAATTGTTCCAGCTGCTGCTCGAGGCTTTTTCTTCAGCGTCACACTAAGACAACATGGCAGGCAGTGGTATTTTGTTCCTACCATTAATCTACTTTATTTATCATTTGTCTGCTGGTTTTTCATTGTAAAATAATAGTTGGCTTTTTCCTGCATCTCATAATCAGATTTTATAACTTGGGAAAGTTTGGCAACCTGTATTGTAACTCTGAAATAATCACATTGTTTTATGCAAATGTCCTGACACAAGGAGGTTTTACAAAACAATTATTTGGCATTGAACTGCTCGAGTTAACAGCAGGTCTAATTAAGTCTCAATGCACTCTTGCTCAGTTAAATGACTTGATACTGAGCTATGGATTGCAGGTCACAAAAAGAAACCGGCTAAAAGCTTTGTGTGTATTTTATTGTTCTTAAGAAGAGTGAGTTGTGTCAGCAAAGGCTAATAGCAGCTGATTGCTTCCATCCATGTAAGTGCTTAGCTATAATAAGGATTGTGTTTGCGTTTGACACAACACTTCTTTTGTTTCTAGCTTGTTAACTTTTCCAGGGCGCTTTCCTCCTGACTTTTTTTGGAAGGCTTAATGACTTGCCAGTGGCTTGTTTACTGAATCGGCACAGAAAAGAGATTCAGTTGCAAAAGGAAAAAAGAGATTTTCTGTCAAGAGGTCTCTCTAGCTTGGCAGGTGTGTGGAGTATTGCACTTCTGGAGGGAGGCATGCTTTTCTTTCATCTCAGCAGATAAGCCCCTGTGACAACAGTTTTGCGTTGTAATTGATGTCACCCCCCCCCCTCTGCAACATCCACACATACTCTCTGCCACACACACACAGACAGACACAGACAGACAGACAGTCTGTAAGGGAATTTTAGAGGAAGGCAGATATGCTACTTCTCTTTTGAGAGAGTTACAAGAACATAAATAGTCATGTCAAATACAGGCAAAGCCCCCAAAGGTGCTATAATGTTTGTTTCATGTTCCTGTGTCTGACTGTGGTTGAATCAAAGCTGGCAGTTCTTACATTAAGGGGGGCTCAAGTTAACCTATTTGTGTCGTAGTCTCACTGTGGTTTTGTTGGTTGAGGTGACCAATCGGATTGCTCGATGGCAGGAGTAATTGAGAGCCCTCCTCACAGCAGAAACAGGAAATCAATAAGAAATCATATGCCTGCGTACATCCTGGCCCCTCGCTGTTTTTTCCGCCCAATCCCCCGCTGTCCGATTGAGAGCTTGTGTAGAGTATGCGGACGGCGACTTTTCACAACAAGAGGAAGCTTGTTGTGACGTTGTAAAAACAGCGCATATCCTATTTCAGCTATGATAACATTGTTTTGACAAGCTGTCTTTTTAACCGGGTCCCCTTAAAGAAGCAACGTAAACTTCAGCAGGCATTTTCAGGAGAGTACATTAAACACTGTGGAACTGAACATAATGAATCATCAAGTGTGACCTAAGTAGCTGAAATGTTAATGAAGGGAGTATCATAAATTCACACAAAGTTGCAGTGCGGTGATTACCCCTGTGCCAACCACTGCGGCTTGTTAGACGAATAAACTAAGTCAAATCCTGCCCTTCCTGTTAGGCCCTTGTCAGTGAACGGTTCCTCTGTGGCGCTGCCATCCTGGGGGAGGAGGGAGAATCTTGTGGGGGAGACAGACATTCCTCAAGAGACCGTTCTGGGTTTTCAAGCAGCTGATATCTCCTGCAAACAGGGCCTCGGCTCTGCGGCTCCTGCCTCAGAATAAATTGCCACCACCCAGCACCAGTTTTAAGAGTTTAATCGTCAAATTATTCAACAAATTGTCAAATACTTTCCTTTTTCTGAACGCTTCTGTAGTTGATAACCTTACTAGCTTCCTAAGAACAGGTCTGTTTTTTTTATCTAAGGTTGTAGTGAGAAAGGAAGGTCAAATAACACGACTCTTTTTCTTTTTCCTTTTTAAAGGAAAGACATTAGTCTGGCCTTTGTGTGAATCCCTGATTGGACTCTTTAGTGGCACACTTTCAAGGTTATTACCTGTACGCAAAATTGACCTTTTTAGAAGTGAATTTGTGACCCCTAATAAATGCAGTAAAAGGGATTGTTTAACGGGGGAGTGTCTCATACTTGCACCTCTCTTTGCCAGGAAAAGATTCCTTGACAGTGCAACAATTAAGATTTATATACAAAACTATAAAGTGTTATGATATTAGACAGTTGGCAGAGTAAGACTAAGATAAAACAAAGGGCAAGTGCCCCTTCATCATCATTTTCATTATCACTGCTGAAATATAAGTATTGAATCAACATTCTCAGACTGTCACACTTTGCCTCATGTATATTCCAAAGTTACTTTTTAACCTCATGGCAGTGTTTCTTTTCACTGAATGTTTTTTTTCCGCCATAGGAAGCGCATAGTGATTGTTGTTATTCAAGATTCATGTCTTTATTGTAATCCTCAGAGCCCTGTCTCTGCAGACATAATGTGTCTAAGGCCTATTATAGACGGACCCATCATTTTCAAGTGATTACTAACCAGTGGGTCATGGAATCAAAAACGGTATAAATAGGGTGAAATGCTAGTGTAGGGGTTGATTAAAATGGCCATTGTAATTCTACCTCTGTTGTAATTATTTTCTCATTGTCTTGGTGCTGATAGATTTCATATGGGACATTTCAAGTGTGTTCATTAGCATATTTTACCCCAAGTGCCCGAGCCTATTCACTGTTAATTTTTTTTTTGAAAGATATTCAAAATACTTGAGCCAAATGATTAGATATGCATACCTCAATTCATGGTTGCGGTCTTTTAAGTACTTCTGTAAGATACCATGCAACATATATGGATTTTAATTGTGGAGGAAGACTGTGTTTTTTTTCTATTGTTTTTTGCAGGGAATTGGAATCTTTATTATAATCTTTCAAAATCCCGTTTAGACCAATTGACATTTGCGTCTAACAGTTTCTTTTGTGCAGCACCCATCTGCTGTGGTGGAATAAATATTCAGACATTTTACATGAATGAAAGTAGCAATACATAGTATAAAACTACTTTTAGCTATTTTCTGTAAGGGGTCGGCAATACATAAATACTTGATATTGTGATATGAGACATTTTAAGTTGTAATGTTGCATAGGTGCTGTCTTTTGCTGGTTACACATATTTAGCTATTCTATGATAGTACTTTTGAACACTGAGTTGTTTTACCAAAAACCAAAAACATATATGTTTTGTTATATCTGTAGAATACACATTTGTATATCTCTGCAGCTCCACAATTCAAAATGATATTTTAACACATATTTAGTCTATTGTGCCGTCTGCAACTTGAATATTGCACTTGTCCAAATTGCGAGTTCTATAACATTTTGAATAATTGTGCAGCCCCTGCTTTCTATATTGTTGATTACTTTAATCTTTAATCACGCACTAAATTGTATGCTTCAGTTCTACACAAGTGTCATAGCCTTTCACAAGCCACTCACAGAGAGGGTGAGAGTCAGTCAGTTCAAATGAGAGTGGCGCAGGGGGGGATTACTTGGCCCCTAACAGGGTTTTGGCTTCAACATTAAGGTTAAAACCCTTTTCTATTACTGAGATCTGTGCTGATGTTGCCCCCTGCAGCCCCGACCCCCTCGAGCATCCAGCTCCTTGCCCCCTTCGTGTTTGCAGGTTCAGTGCCTCTCTGCTAGGTCATTCTGTCAGGCCCCCTGATCAGTGGTGGGTGACCGGGGACCGGGGGTTGGCTCCCGTCCAGACTCACAGACAGCCGCTGCCGACACAGGCCCTGGCTACTGCGACACCCCCCTCTCCTCTCTCTCAGGCTAGAGCTAAAATCGATACAGGCGTCTCCGTGTTTAAGAAGCCACTCAGAGCCAGACGAGCACCTCTGTCCCGAAGGCTGATCTCTCAGCTTAAGGCCCTGATTGGCATCCCGAAGATGCGAGGCGCTGACCCACAGCTGTCCCATTAGCAGAGGGTTAATGCTGAGATTGATACTGAGCAAATAAAGGAACTAGGTGTGGGGGTATTTTTGATAGACTGTCTATCCCCTCTCTGACCTGGAGACAGACCTCAGTTGTTTTTGGGGCTTTTAGGGAGTGGTACTGTCAGATCTTCGACTCCACAATGCTGCGTTTGTGGATCTGTCGCAGATGCACACTGTATTTATCCCGGAGTGTGTGGCTGCCTCTCTGTCTGCATGTGTGTGCCTCTGTGTATTTGTGTACAAGTACAAGTGTGCGCATGTGTAAGTCTGCGCGCCTGCCGTTGAATTTCAAACAAGTGAGTTTCCTGTGGAACTTCTACTTCAGCGAGGAGATTTTGAAGCTGGTGGAATATTTGAGTCATCGATGTAACTGAAACTGAAAACACCCCCCCATTCCCCTCTTTCCCTCCCCTGGCTTCACCCCCTCCCGTTCGCTCCTGCTCTGTTGCTCCGTTTTTGTTTTTGAGTCGTCGGCGAAGAGAGGGTGGAGCACGTTTTTTTTGGAGTATGGAGCCTGGCAGCTCCCTCAGGCCTGCTCTGAGTCACGTCATA